AAAAAAACGTGAGAAATGTTTGGTATGCCTAAAATAGCGTAAAAAAGACAAAGCTAAAGCATGATGCATGAAATAAAGCAAAGGAAGGCAGCTTACTGCTTCTTCTAAAAGTCAATCTCAAACGAAAGCAATTCTTTCTAATCAATGAGCAAAAATAAAAAAAAGCTAGAGTTCTCTGATGCTCACCTTCTGTGCTGCTTTGTCTTACAATTTGTACTTGGAACGGTACCACCGCATTGACTGGTAAAAAAAGATCATGGGCAGGTAAAAGCAGCAAGTTAGCTACAACTACAAGCTCCAGGCTATGAGAATCGATGCTCTGAAAGCACAAAGATGCATTAAACTAGGGAAAAACATCATAAATGATTAAAATGCAGAGGAGAAACTGTGAAATATAGCTTTAAATAAGAAGAGAAGATACCTTATAGTGCGGCTCTGCAAACTTTGCAGTTAGGGTTGCTGATCCAGTCAAAACTCCCTCCACAAGAATAATATAACCTTAGAAGAGGATTAGATATTATCGATGTTATAACACAGTAAGTAGGTAGGTTTTTGTAGTACGAAATTGAAGTCACAAGAAATATTGTCATGACAAAAAAATCACCTTTCTTCTTCCTACTCTCCAGAGCTACAATCTCAGCCGGTGCTTCATACGTGGATTGCTCAAAAGGTACAATTCGAAGTGGGCGACCTTCCCCGGTATGTGACAATTCCCATTCAATTGGGATCTCACTTAACGTAGAGAAGGTATCGCCTTAATCAACCAAATAGGTCAACTTATAATGAGAGAGGTTTTGAGATCTTACCCTCAGAGTTCAGAGCTTCAAGATGAATTCGAGCAGGTGCAGCATCAACAAATAGGATTTTTGTCGTTGTTTTTATGCGGATTTTTGAGATTTGATCAACTGTCACGCCACAGCTCAACATAGTACCGGAACCTAAGAATAAGAGATGTCTAATGGGAAAGTGAACTGAGGCAAAAAACCTACCGCTGTCTTCAGCAAAAACCACAGCACTCAATTCTCCCGAAAAAGCTTTAGATATTGCTCGAATCTCAGCTCTATCTGAGCATTCGTCAGTCTTTGAACCCAAAAGGCTTACAGAGACAACGTCCGGGCGGGTAGACCGCCTAGAATCAACAATTTAACGAGAAAACTTTACAAACATC